AACAAAAAAAAAAAAAAAAAAAAAGTTTACATTTCACTTTTTTTTTTTTGGTATTGGGGATCAAACTTGGGACCTTGCGCTTTTGAGGCAGGCGACAGAATCATATATTTCACTTTTGGACCAGTCAATCAGAAATTGACTGAATAAAGTCTTCATTTTTAGTAAACATTTCACTGTTGTTTAAACTATAATATCTTTGAAAGGAATTGCCTGACTTTTACAATATGTGGATTTCTCAGTCTCTCTCAGTCTCTATCTCTCTCAATCTCTCTCATCTTGTGGGTGGAACCCAGGGCCTTGTGCTTGCTAAGTACTGCTGAGTAACATCCTTAACAATTTTTCACAAAGTGAAAAGCAGAGTGCTTAGATTCACTAATCTGCCTCAGAGTCAGTAATTTTAATTATTCTTACTGCTTTTTTATGTTCTTTCCTGGCAACTGGTTAACTTGATTTTTTTTTTTCTATTTTCTCTTCATTTTTTAGACTTTGAGAATCAGGTGACAAAACTCCATCAGGACATTTCTGAAACAACAGAACAGTACAAAACATCCTCAGGAAGGACCAGTGAAAATATTTCTCAGACTCCCATTTGGGGAGGAAACTGTGAGAGGGCCCTGAAATTGGAAGGGCCACATGGGAGCCTCTCAGGAGAGGGCTGGCAGGAGCCCTCTGCCCAGGGGAGGGATTTGAATAAGCTCCTGGGTGGGTATGTGGGGCAGAAGCCTATGTGCACAGAATGTGGGAAAAGCTTTAAGGGGAGTTCCTATCTCATGAGACACTTAAGGACTCACACTGGCGAGAGACCTTACAGATAGATCGAGTGTGGGAAAGGCTTCAAGCAGAGCTCGGACATTGTCACTCATGGCAGAACACACACAGGTGAGAAGCCCTACCTATGCCAAGGGTGTGAGAAGAGGTTCTGTGACAGCTCTGCACCATCAAACATCAGAGGACCCCCACAGGGGAAAGCCCTACAAGTGCCCAGAGTATGGGAAGAGTTTGGGAGGAAGCCACACCTCATCATGCGCCAAAGAACACACGGGAGAGAAGCCCTACAGGTGCCTTGAGTGCCAGAAGAGCTTTAGTTAAAGCTCAAATTTCATCACCCACCAGAGGATCCACACTGCGGTGAAGCCTTACAGGTGCAGTGACTGTGAGGGCGGCCATCCAGAGCTCAGATTTGATTAAGCACCCACAAACCCACAGGGGAATGGCCTTTTCAGTGCCTGGAGCGCAGGAAGGGTTTCCGGGACAGTTCTCATTTTGTAGCTCACATGAGCACTCACTAGGGAGAAAGACCTTTCAGTTGTCCCAACTGCCACAAAAGTTTCAATCAGAGCTCACACTTGTTCAGGCATCAGCAGATGCACACAGGTGAGAGAACTTTTAAGTACACCGAGTGTGGGAAAGGATTTCCTGACAGCTCTGCCCTCGTTAAGCACCCGCGGATCCACACAGGAGAAAGACCCTACAAGTGTGGCGAGTGTGAGAACAGCTTCAACCAGAGCTCTCACTTCACGACACATCAAAGTGTTTACTTAGGAGACAAACCCTACAGATGTCCCAAGTACGACAAGACCTTCCACCAGCATTCCCTTTTCCTCACATACCAGAGGACACACACGGGAAAAACCTTTCCACTGCAGTACATGTGACAAGAGCTTCCAGCAGAAAGCACATCTTTTGTGCCATCAGAACACCCATTTAGTTTAGGAAATGTTCTTTGGTGGTTTTCTGCTCCCTTCCAAATTTTCGGTGCCACTGTCTTCAGATCCCTCAAAGAAAGAAAACCTGAATATGGGTAGCTCAAATCAGAACCCAGTCTCTTCTCTTTTCTGTGTTACAATGACCAGGACAAACTCAAAGGGCCTACATAGTGTTCTGAACACAAGACATTCCTTCAGTGTGAGTCAACCAACTCTTCGGAAAATTCAAGTTTAATGGTTGCTGCCTGGCTACTAAGTGAGGGGGAAAGAAGTGTGGCCTACAGATCACATGGAAACCATGTAGGAGGTGCTCAATATTGATGATTAATATGTGAAGGCTTGGGCTGCACATGTAGCTCAGTAGTAGTGCACTTTCCTGTCATGCACAAGGCCCTGGGTTTAATCCCTAGCACTAAAAACAACAACAACAACAAAAAATGAGGTCATATGCAGGGCCTTTAATGTAGTGCTTGGCCCTTGAAAAGATACTCAGTCTAATCTTGGTTGTTTTTAAGCTTAGTTTGTTACTACTCAATAAGAAATTTATAGGCCAGGCATGGTGGCCCATGCCTGTAATCCCAGCACTGGGGAGGCTGAGGCAGGAGGATCACTGACTTCAAGACCAGCCTGGGCTACATAGTGAGGTCCAGGTCATCAGTCTCAACTACATAGTGAGACTTTGTCTCAAAAAACAAAAACAAAAACAAAAAATTTATTAGTGCACCCACCCAAGTGCAGAATTTGCAAGAAAGTAGACTGGAACTGGAAGGTTTGTGAGTCTGAACCCAGATTTAATAAAATGGAGAGTCCCTCCCAGTCTCCTGCTACGCAGGCATTAGTCACAGCTGTCCTGGTGCCACGATGAAGCAGGATTAGCCTAAAAGAGATTGTGCTTTTGTAACTTAGAGGCTGGAAGAATCTCAGAAGCTCTTTGTACAGCGGTGTGTGTTGGGGGGTTCTACTGTAGCCTACTGTCATCTGAGGCGTAGGAAGGATCCTGTGATGATCCACCCAGGGGGAGCAGGAGGAAGATTATAAAATCATAGAGGCAAAATTGCTGAGAATTCAAGTGATATTACAGGGCTGCTTCCTGGCATTTAACTGAAGGAAGCTACTGTTCGCTAGTTTGCTGGGTCATTGTAACCCTTTGGTTTTAGGTTGAAGCAAATCTGATCCTTTTAGGGCCATTCATTTTCTGCACCAGTACTTTCCTGTATTTAATTGAAATAAATTGAGGGAAGTCAAGATAGTATGTTGGAAAGGGCACCGACTTCCTTGAGAAAGCAAAAATGTTTGAGTCCTGACTCTGACACTTAATTTTGCCAGACCCTCACCTCTCAGCACCAAGCTCTACTTACCTCACCTACCTCACAAAGTGGTAGTAGGGATCTAAAACACACAGTCGTTAAATTTTAAGTGTAATATCTTTAAAGTTTAATGTTACAGAATTATTGTTAAAGTCTTTTCCTGCAAGGTCTGACTCTTCAAGTGTCCCATATTGTATAATGAGAGAATTGTCCTTAACCTGTTGAAAGCTAAGGTATAAAAATGCTAGCCAAAGGTCGGGAAATGTAGCTCAGAGGTGCAGTGTCTGCCTGGCAAGTGTGAATCCATGAGTCTGATTCCAGGTACCAAAAAAAAGAAAAAAAAAATGCCAGCCAAGTGTAGATCAAAGTCAATTACCATCAGTATGTAGACAGTTTATAAGTATCAGATGAGAAGGTGAGGTGGGAGCTTAGCAGCAGAGGAAAAGGGTAATTAATGCACATGAAATTCTCCTGTCTCACTGCAGGGTGGAAGTGTTTGGACCCAGGGAGGACTTGCACTGGATTGGCATAGGATGTCCTGGAAAGGTATCTGACAAGAGGGAGCCAGTTAGAGGACAACCAAGGGACACAAATGCTACATTATTCATACAAACCTGTTAGGGCCCTGATTAGTGCTTATTGTCTGGGAGTGATGCAAGGTTAGAGCAGCACAGAAGTAGAGGTCAAAAGACCCGAGCTGGAAGTTTGGGAGTTGAATCAGATGAAGATCCTTTCTGGCTCTAGCAGTTTACAAACCTGAGTTCCCAGTTCGGTCCCACACTGGGGGGAAGCTCTTCCACACACGCACTTTCCTGTTCTGAGATACCCAAGCTGAAGGCCTGGATCCCCGTGCACTCCACCTCTGGTGCCTTGGTTGCCCAGGTTCTTGGAGAAGAGGCAAGAGCTCATTTGCTAGGGCCCCTCCTACCTTGTTACAGACCTTGAATCTTTTCCTACCTATTTGTTTTCCATGTCCTATGTGTACCAGTTGCTGATGTTGGGAGTCATGAGCTTTTGAAAGCAAAGCGAAATCTGATTTTGCTTTGTGGCTCTGCTAACCTGTCTTTTCCCCACATACAAACCATGAGCCAGGAGGCTTTTAGTTTGGTGCTTGGTATTGAACCCGGGGCCTTGTGAATGCCAGGCAAGCACTGCTACCCCTGTGCCACACTCCCAGCCCAAGAAGGGAATATTAAAGTGACCTCTATCATAGTTTCCCTTTGTTTCTACCCTTTGACTGGATGATTCGCTTCTTGCTCATGCTCTGTGCATCCTCCTACCTCATGCTAAACTCAAGGTCATCACCCAGCAATCCAAGTGACCCCTCTCAAATTCCTCTCATGTGATCTCTCTAATCTCTCCAGCTTCTTTGCCACTCTCTGGTCTAAAACAAATGTGATCTCTTACCTGAGCTCCTGCAGCAGCTTCCTAACTGATCTGGATTTTACTTTTACTTTTGTTTTCTTTCGTAGAAGTCAGTGTGATCTTTTAAAATCTTAACTCTAGGGCCGTGGTAAATTGCTTCCCTAGCACGTGTGTGTTCCATCCCCAGCACCACAAAACCAAACCCTAAATATAGTCACATCATCTCTCTGCTCATATCAGCAACTTCCTATCACTTTTAGAATGAAGACCCAAATCCTTATCCCGATCTAATCCCCTAGGTTTGGTTTCTTTCTGCTTTTAGCTACTGCTGTTGTCACCTGGCATGTCCCACACAGTGCCCCAGCACACCTGTGTCCTCTACTCTTTGGTCACACCCAGGTTGTGCATACTTCAGAGCATTGGTACTAACAGTGCTTTCTGCTCTGAATATTTCTTTTCTCTCTCTCTCTTTTTTTTTTTTTTTTTTTTTTTTTTTTTTTGGTACTGGGAATCAAACTCAGGACCTTGTACCTGCAAGGCAGGTGTGCCTCCACTGCGCTAAATCCCCAGCCCTCTTGTTTCCTTTCTTTCATGGTAGGTGCTAAGTCAGTGCTTATTGTTGCCTAGGTGTTGTGGGGATTACAGGTCTGTAATCCCAGCACAAAGGAAGCAGGGCAGAAGGATCACAAGGTCGGAGTTAGCGTGGGCAACATGATGAGTTCAAGACCAGCCTGAGCTACAAAATCAAACTCTGTCTAAAAAAAAAAAAAAAAAAAAACTTAGATGAAAGAATGAATACATGATCAGAGGCAAGGAGCTCACTGCCGAGACACATCAGAGCGAGATAAAGCTGGACGAATGAATGAGGGTCCTACCAAAAAGGCTGGTAGTCAGCAAACCAAGGAGTTTGGATCTTCCTGCTGAGATGTCACTGCTAGTGGTTTTCTAGAAGACTCATGAGCAGCACTGGAGGAAGGTTGACTTGGCAGCTCTATGTAGGTGACCCAGCAAGGAGTGAAGGTGACGGCTTGGAAAAGACACATGAGGGAAGGGTTCAGCACACGCAGTGCCTCTGGCCAGGGGTCGTCATCACCAAGCACTATGGCAGGCACAGGGACACCAGAACAAAACAGGGCATCGTTAATCCATCTTCCGCCTCAAAACCATCTTTCCTAGACCCATCTTCACATCCCTTTCCTGCCCATTTTAGCAAACATCCTCTCACAATCTGTTCTCTGGGCACCGCATTCCCATTGTGCCTCTTGTTTGTCTTCTTCCCATCAATGCTTCTTTGTTTGATGCTATTTGCAGAGTTTCTCCTTGTGATCCTCTCTTCCCTTGATGGTGTTGAGCTTCTGGCTCTTCCTTCTCAGGTACCTTTCCTGGCTCCTCTTCTCCCCTTTGATGTGTCTTGTCCTCTTTCCATCTCCATCCTCTCTTGTTCTTCGCATAATCTTCTAGCATCAGCTATTCTGTCTCAGGCCACAGGTCTGCCCTGATCTGAACTTCAGCCCCAGGAGCCTAGGTTCGGTAGACACGGCCCACATGTGACCCGCTGCCTCCACACCTCCAAGTTCACTTCAGCTTCTCCTCCCACAGCATCCCTCCTGGATCTCTCTTTTTGCAAATGACTCCTACACGTTTTTGCCAGAAACACCTTGGCCAGCTTGGGTCTCTTCTGTTTCCTGTATTTCCTTCTGCCAAATCACATGATCTGCCTCTCTACTGCCACTGTAAAATACTAATCATGAAAACACACAGGCTTGCAAAGATTTTAGAAAGAAATCCTTAAGAAGCATCCAAAGTAAAAAGATGGCAATGCCCCGCCCTTCCTCAGTCCTCTGCGTGTCCCCTGGTTTCTATCCTGGCGGGTTTGGGTGCCAAGCTGTGCAGTTTAAAATTAAAAGGCTGAGTTAGGGAGTTAGGAGACTTAAGAGTTACAAATTTGGACTTGTCCTGTAAGATGTGGTAGTGGTGACGCATGCTTATAATCTCAGCATCCTGGGAGGCTGAAACAGGAGGACTGCATGTTCCAGCCCAGCCTGGACAACTTGGGGGCTTAGTGAAACCCTGTCTCTAAACAAAAAATAGAAAAGGTCTGGGGATGTGGCTCAGTTTGAAGACCCTGAGTTCAATCCCCAATATTATAAAAACCAAACGAAACAAAATAAAAAACAACAACAAAAACCAAACAAAAACAAAACCTTGCCTCCCCCTTATGTGTAACATTTTTTTCCCCACTGTACCAGGGATAGAACTCAGGACCTTGCAGTTACCAGACAGGCATGGTACCGCTGAGCTACATCCCCAGCCCAACTTTTCTTTCACTGATGCAGGAGATTAAACTGAAGGCCTGGCTCATGATAGACAAGTGCTCTACCACTGAGCCACACTTGGCCCCTTGTGTACAATTGTACATACACATAAATGTCCAGAGGAATACAGGCTACCACCGGTGTGTGAGGAGCTGAACTTGGGCTGCTATCTGCTGGATTATGCCCTGTGACATTAATAATGCTCATGCAAGGATCTTTTATTTCTCCAGAAAAAAATGTTTCCACATTTTAGATCATTTCCACAGGGTGTGAACATTTTTACAGCTCTAGTTCTGGCTGCCAAATTGTTTTCTAAGTGAATTGTACCAATTTATAATGTTATCAGCAATAAATGAATACCAGTCTTCCCACCCTCATCCTTGAGAAACCGTTTTGCCAATTAATGAGGAACAATCCCTACATGTTGTTTTAATTTGTATCTCTTTGATTGCTTGTGAGCTGGCCCTTTTTCATGTTTTAGCTACTTTCTTGTGTTTCTCCTGTCCTTAGTCATTTGTGTCCTCATTGTGGGATGGCGAATGAAAGCCTTGACCATTTGATTTTGAGGAAGTCATTTACATTTTCCTGCTCTCTTCTCCCTCTGTGCTTTATTATT